GACCTGACCCGAAGTCGGATGCTTAACCAACTGAGCCACCCAGGAGCCCCCAGAAAGGAGTTTAAATTTCTTATAAGATTATCAGAGGTTTTGCAAATGTCAACCCCAGCCCAGAACTAAAACCTAGCCATCTTAGGCCCAAACTGTACATAGTGAATGCATTTTAAACAATCACTTTACTGTGCCATGGGTGGTTTTGAGAGGAAGAGAGATTTGCCTGATTAAAGAAGTTGGAATAAGAGGGAGAAGAGAAATGAGGTTCTACAGAGGGTTCTCCAGGGAAGACCTCCCCACAGTCGCGTTACATGTGTGCTCGTTAACAGGGCTGAGGGGTGTCAGGCTCAGCACGGAGGAGGGAGGAAATCCTGGGTAGCTTTCCAGGCCCCAGGCTGCCCCAGGCTGGATTTTCATGGTAGCATATCATCGGACATGCTGTTTTCTTCTTGTTTAACGCACTCCCCCCCCCCCCCCCCCCCCCCCCCCCCCCCCCCGCCCACTGCTACGTCAGTAGCCCGCAGATGCCGTGAGCACAGGGACTCTGCTTGGTGTGTTTTGTTCACGGCCACGAGCAGTTCCCAGTACATAGTAGGCACTCAGATATTTGTGAAGAGAACGAACCTTGGTTTTAATTGACGTATTGAAGTAGATATCTAAAAACAGGCCTGGGAACAGTGACTGCGAGAAGGTAAGCACGGAATAGGCCTTAACGGACCACCCGCTTCCCTGTGGGCAGTGACGGTCTGGGACTGCTTATTTGGGTTTCTTTCTGGATCGTCGGTGGACCTCACTGTGCACTTCTATTTTGTTTTTGTTTTAACGCGGCAGTAATACTGAAGAGGATGTAGTCCTCAAAACCAACAAGCAGATTTACTCCCAGCTTTTGAGAGCTACCGCTAACAGAAATTCCACTCTTCTGGAAAGGATCGACGTCCTCATCCAGTTGCTGGATCAGCTTGCTCGCGGCGGCAGTGGCGGCCAGTGACTCGGGCCTGAAGCTCCGTCCGCAGAGACGCTGTCAGTGCCTTCTGCTCTTGGGGGCCGGTTTGTCCATTCGGTGCTTCGTGTCATTAAATAGGAGGGAAAGACTCTCCTGTCACTAAAGACAGGCACAGCAGTGGAAACACAGTTCTCTTTTCCCGTCACGGACACATCGTGGTTGAGTTCTTTGCTTCATTTGAAGTGGAGGCAGAACCAGACTGAGAGCCCCCGGCGTTGGTTTTTCAGAGACATGCGTGGTGCCTCCGTGTTCACACCCTTGCTGTGATGCAGCTGCACTTGTAAACAGGTTTCAAGTCTGTTGGGCTCCATGGGTTTAAGATAGAATTATTTTGGATGATGTTACCGTGGTCAGGGGAACTTGAATCCAGATGCCTTTAGTGGTTCAGGTGGGTTCAAGAAACATCCTGTCTCTACGGCGCTTCCCGGTCGCACGGAAGGCGGCCCACCCTCCCCCGTGTCGCGGGCTCCGTGGTGTGGAGTTCGGGGCGCGCTCTGAGAGCGCCCGCTTCTCTCTGACTGGCTAGGACAGCTGATCGAGGATAGGTTCTGCTCCCTCTTTGTTTCATTGTAAACTGGAAACTGTGAATAAGGTAAGAAAACTATTTTGAATAAATAAATTATTTATTTAAAATGTCTGTTATTTTTCCTGAATTTCACATTCTGCACTTTGAGTTTTGATTTGAACTGGTTTAATCAATCTTCCAAAGTGAAGATTAAAACATTAAAATCTCTGCCATTCACCGCATCGTCACAGAACGGGACGCTGCTTGCACCCGTCACGCACGGCTCTCGTCTGGGCACCCGCGTGAGCTCTGCTTTCTCCGTGCCCACCTCGCGCTGCCTACCTGCCCTGGCACCACAGCCTCCGTTTCAAGGAAACGGAACAGAAATCGGGCATGCCGTCTCCCGTCGGGTTGACGGCTGGGACGTGTAGACGGGAGCCCGCTCTGCCGCCACGTCCGTCGGCCTGGCCCCGAGTGCGGGCTCACCTCTGACCTTCAGCACCTCCCACAGCCCCTGCGCCTTGGCCAGTAGTCCCTCCGCTCAGTGGCCATGCCCTCTAGAGGAATCTGAACCGTACCGGAAAGTTGTCTGGAATAAAGCTGGCCCTTTACAAAGTGCTCTCTCGAAAGCGCGCCGAGATATTCAGGTGTTTTCCTTGGTGGTGAGTTGACACCTGTCCCAGCTTGACGGGACTGTCGCTGGCCCTGTCCTTTGTCTACTTCTTTGTTATCTGGTTTGCATTTCCTTGGGACAGATGTGCATCCGTTCTCAAAAACCACTGAGGCATTTAAAGTTTTAACTAAGTCGTGAAACAGATGTACAAAAGCAGACATCGTCCGTCGGGACAGCCGTCCCTCCGCTTCCCCTGCGGCGAGTGCTGTCCTCACTGGTCCAGCCCGCACACTTCCCCCGAGAAGATCCAGTTTTGAAGTAAGCTGGCATCAGGATGTCGTGTTCCTGGTCTTGTCTTCCGGCCTCTCCTTGGCTGAACAGCCTTTTAGTTGAGGAATATTTGTTTCTAAGCAAGAAGATGGCAATTCTAGCCATCTTCACTTGTCGAAACAATAATATGAATGTTCCCTACAGGGGGAGAAAAAAAGTGTGTCTAAATGTTGTAATTTGCTGATTTTAAATGAGTGCTTCTTAAAGTGCTTGAGCTTTGGCTGGTAGGTGGGCAGAATTGTGCTACTTGTGGCCTGGTCATTGAGACGACTTGTTTTTCAGTTAATTTCAGGGCAGGGATGGAGAGAAGGTGCCAGGGCCCTGGGGCTGGAGTCAGAGGCAGGGGTCACCAGCAGCCACTGCGTTGACCCTGCTGGGAAGGACACAACGGTGAACTTCAGTTTCTAGGACTAGAAATGTGCAAACTAGTGTGGGCCTTGGCACTCCAACGGAGTTGTGAAGATGGAGAGAAATGCGTGGGGAAACCTTCCATACGCTGTCTGTGAGGGAAACGTAAGTTACCACGCCAGCAAGTGTGGAGCACAGTAGTGGAGCTTTTCCGATGAATCCCTATGTTTTCAGGGAGCCGTATCTCCTTCCGTGATTGGATCCTTTGGCCACGGCTACGTTCCCATCCAGCCATGAAATGGGTACAGGGGTGACAGGTGGCAGAAGGACAGGGATGTGTCAGGATTTGTTTTTTTTTTTTAACCTTTCCTAAAAATGTCCTAAAATCATTCGGTAATTTTTTTTTTTTTTTTTTTTTTTTTTTTTTTGGCCTGTAAAACGGACTTCTAAACCACATATTTGAAAAGTTCAGGTAATAGCTTTTTCCACTGGGTTTTAGCCCTATTTGTTTCGGTTACTAAAGATCTGGTTTATTTTCTTTGTAAAAGACCCGACTTTCTCTCAGAAGAGAAATCCCTTTCCCCACTTGCCTGTTTTTCTCCTTACATGTTCAGGGTGGAGGCATGGACGTCACAAATGTCAAACCACCTCCCTGAGATGGGCTGCTTGGGAAATAAGCCATTTGAAGGAAGCCAAGGCTGGTGCTGTTTGTCCTTGGCATTAACCACTTTCCAGTACGCATTGCCTTTGAGCAAGAAAACGGAGTTGTGTGCGTAGGAGTAATAGGCTGAATCTATATTTCTGAAAGGATGGTTTTGTGGCTCTATTCCTGGAAATACCTCAGTAATCTTCATTGGATAAGAATCAAGTACTTGATTTCTGTTGACATCAAATGCAAACACCTGCAAAGCAAGTAAGAAAGTGAGACCGGCATTTCTGAAAACCATTGATTTTTTAGATTAATTTTAGGAATGAGCTAAGTAAATCTGTAGCTTTGCACCAAATTCTCTGGGCTTGAATTTCTTAATTTTCCACATGATGGGACCCGCCATGGTCATACAGGGCCGAGGCAATTGAGAACAACTTTTAACAACTTGGCCCTCTGACAAACCTCAGGGGGTGATAGAAGCCACACCAAGCTGGAAAGCCTCTACTTACGAGGGACTCTTTGAAGAAGTAAATTAACTGTTTTCTCCGGTCATAAAAGGCAGTGTCCAGAGGACTTGGAATGCCAGGAAATCCTTCCGAAATCAATCTGGGGTAGCTTCTCCCTTGTTCATCCTCTGTGTAGGCCTGATCCTTGTCGCTGTCGTATCTCCAGTACTGATTTCCTGAGAGCCAAACAAAACATGCTTATATGGCTTATTACCATTTAATTATGGACGACAAAGAGGCCCACTTTCAATCTAGGTCTCCGCCAACTGTGATGTTTCGCCGTGACCCCAGAAGAAGGCAGGACCTCAGCATCTGAGTGAAGCCTCCACTCAAGTGAATGATTCTCCACGTCTTGAATTACTTCTAGATCGGTTCTGACAATCATTGCCGCTATTAAGATGTTGGTTGCCTTTTGCAGGGCACGCCGGCCCCCTGGTGCTCATCAAAAGCAAAAACAAAATGACAAATCGTACGGTCTTTTTCACATAAGCATCTTCTGTTTTTTTCCCTTCTTCGTATGTAGTCTCATGATCTTCCTTTTACGTGTTAGGATCCCAGGGGTTGCCGTGAATCGTTTTCCCACCATAATAAATATAAGCCCTCTTTTTACAGAAAACAATCATGATGCTTATGATCAGGTCTTTTAAAGATTTTGTTTAAGTAATCTCTACACCCAGCGGGGGATTAAACTCAACCCCAAGATCAAGAGTCACATGCTCTACCAACTAAGCCAGCCAGGCACCCCAGCTTTTTGTCAGGGTTGTAGAATTCTGCACTTCGACTGCCATCTCGGTTGTACAAATGACGAAACCGGAGAAGCGCTGAAGCGCTTCATCCGGATTCACGGCCCAGGTGGGACCGGTGCGGCCCGAGACTCCCTTATCCCACCCCAGCGACTCGACCCTCTGTCCTGTGAAGGCACAGCTTGTAATGTTGCTCTGTTTCAGTTCACGATCCAGATGCCTATTTCGTGCTCTGAAACAGCACAGGACTCTTCTGGACTCTCCTTATTAGTTGCTCATCCCGAACCCTGGCATATGGTCAGCATAAAATAGAATAAATCCACTGAGCTAGAGGTTTTGGTGTTCACAACCTACGTCACATCACAATCCGTTCCGTTCCGTAGCAGCCGCCCACGCGAGCTCCCTCTCGCCCTCGGCCCCTGCTTCTACCCCGTCCCCAAAAGGTTTGCCTTTGAGAGAAAACAGTGACGTTTGTCCAGCCAATGGCACAGTTCACTCTAACTGGAATATTTGAATTTAAAGTATTCTCGGCCAGTTAAACTTAAGAGGTTTTTTACAGCTCCGAGACTAAAATACACGTGTTATTACAGCAGTCCCCCACGATGACCTAATTCTGTAACGAAGAGTCTTTGTTGCCTGTGGAAGCTCTCGTCCAGGACTTCTTAGGACCCTGAGAGATGTGCTTCCAACTCTGAGAGCCCTGAACTAGACAAGTCCGCCCTGGGCAATTTGTTTCTGTAACTGCACTCCATTCTTCCTTTGTGCGATGTAAAGAAAATTAAGGCCAGATTCATGCACTGGTTTGTTGCGGCAAAATCTGCACACAGCTTCCTTTGGGTTTGGCTCTTGCCTCTCTGACTCCTGAGCCATTTAAGGCCAGAGGGTCCTATTGCCAGGGCTCAGGCAGACCGAGGGCACACGGCTTACCTCTGGGGCAGTTCGGGGAAGGGAAAGAAAAAGCAGCCACAGAATCTTGTTTGTGCTTATTAGACTCCGGGCATTTGGTTTGCAAACAGCCAGCCTCCGTGACACGGGCAGAGGCCCCCGGGCAAGGCGGCCTGTAAGGGGAGTGGCAGGACGGTCCCGGCCTGTCTTCTCTGCGCATCCACGGACCCCAGACCCCCGCCTCGGTCTCTGCCTCCCAGCAACACGCTGATCCTCCCTGCTCAGAAACTGCCACCGACGCCTCACTGCCTGCTGGCTGAAGTCCAGCCCCCGGCCACGGTGCTCGAGGCTCTTGGGGCTCAGGCTGACCCTGTCTTTCCAACCTAATCTCGTCCCGTGTGAGTGC